TAATCTATGCAGAAATAGAAGTATAATGATGTACACCTGAAATTTATACAATGTTATAAACCAATGTTACTGCAATAAACAAAAAATTAAAAAAAAAAAAAATGAGGGAACCAGTAAGATATTAAAATTGGTTAAAAGAGCATTTGAGGAGTTAGGTATTTATAGGCAATTTAATAAAAGAATGTTAAGATTGCTGGATTACATACGAAACTGGAGTGATCTTGTTCCACTGGACAGATATGATTTGCATTCCATTGAATAAAATTCTACAAGTTAACACGCAACTTCAAAAAAAAAAAATTACTAGTCCATTAATATGTAGATAGCTTATACTGTGTTAAGAAACAACCACACAATGTATAATCTAGAATCTTTACTGTTTTCTGTTATTACTGAGCAGTAATTTCTTAAAGGACAGAATCTTAACTTAGTCATCTTTGCTTGCTATCCCTATAAAACGTAGTAAGCGCCCTGCACATGCTAATTCCATAAAGATCTCTGGAGTGTCGGCTTGCTGGAAACTTATCAATGGCTGAGAATAAAACCCAGATCCCTTGCCCTGGCCTACAACGTCTTAATGATCTGGTCAACTTCTTCCTTTCATTTTGTCCCATCTTCCCCTCATCTGCTTCATCCGCAGCCACCCAGGCCTTCTTTCTGTTCCTTAAACACTCTGAGCCCTTCCCTGCTGAGGGCCTTTGCACGTGTCACGCCCTCTGCACGGAATGCTCCTCCAGGACCTTCTGGCTGGCTGGCTCCTTCTCATCACGCAATCAGAACGGAGAGGTCTCCTCCTAAAGTGGCTTCCCTGAGGTCCACTTGAAACACCTGCAGTCACCCTGAGCACAGCAGCCTCTAACTTTCCGCACAGCACTTATTCCCATTGGACATTTTGTTTACGAGAACAGGGATCTGATCTGTCTTGATCAATCACCATTTATCTCCAGGACCCAGAATGACGTGCTCCATTCATATTTACTGAATGAACAAAACAATATATGGATTTTAAGTTTGAAAGGCATGAAAAGAAATATGCTTGTTAGTAAAAACTTTAGAAACACCCTAACGTTTATTATAAGAGATCACAATAATACTGTATGCACAAAAAGCGATTTTCTTCTCAAATGTCAATGTTTTGCATAGATTAAAAATTGCCATCTGCTTTCCAATTACATTTGCTCTATAAATACTCCAAAAATATTCTTCCCCATCAGTTAGACATTTATTATGCTTCATTCCCTGAGGGAAAAAAAAACCATAGTCTACTCATTTTTATATATACCCATCACAATAATATGTATCACCACAACAACACAGATCCACCAGAGAGCCAGCACCTCGGAGCAGGAGCTGGGGTGAAGCACACTGCAATGAGAGCTTCCCATTTCAGCCACAGATCTAGAGGGCAGGAGGGTAACCAAAAAGCAAGACGGGGAAGTGTCCTTCGTCAAGAGGACTCAGGACGGAAACACTGAGTTTGGACTCTGAATTTTAAAACAGAGGGATTATAGCATGTTTCAAGAAACACCAACCACTATTGTTGGAAGGGGCTTTTAGAGATTCTCTAGTTCAAAGCCCTTATTTTACCAGTGAGGAAACTGAGATACAGAGAGGAGAAGAGGTCTGGAATAGACCCTGCTGTCACCTGGCATGCCCACAGCCAAGAGGTCTCAATTTTCTTCCTAAAACACAGTAACGGTTTTCTGAAAAACAATCTAAGAAACTATGTTCCCATTCACAGTAAGCCATCAATATTCAACTAAGAGACCTGTTAATGTAGAAGCAATCTTGTTTATATACAAAATTTAAATATTAAATATATACTCGTGAGTAGACTCGTAGGCCAGGGGTTGGCAAACTTTTTCTGTAAGGGGTCAACAGTAAATATTTTAGGTTTTGCAAGCCATAAGGTCTCTGTCTTAACTACTCAACTCTGCCAGTATAGTACAAAAGTAGCCAAAGATAACACATAAACAAACAGGCATGCCTGCGTTCCCAGAAAACTGTAATTAGAAAAACAGGCAGCAGGTCATATTCGGTCCATGGACCAGTCTGCTAACTTCTGATGTAGATGATATTCCTAGGTTACGACGATTAGGATATAAAACTAACTCTTTGTAGTAGCACTAAGGGACATTATTTTACCTTACAGAGGTACAGTGGATCAGAGAGAATGAAAACATCTGGATTTAGAGTTGGTTGTGGAATAATGGAAAAACCTCTGGTCAAGAGAGTCAGAACACAAGTTCCAATTTGGGCTACGTCTTTAACCACGCTGGGCTCTGGTTTCCCAACTAGAAATGAGGATAACAACTTACATCCCGAAAGCTAGACTACAGTAACAGCTGTGACAGCTCTGGACAAATTCAAGTCATTGCTTATACTGGATCCCTCTTGTGTTCAAACGATTTCTGTGATGGTCGGCCAGGACTGGGCTGACAGATTTGAACTCATCAATCTCATGACAACTAGCCCCAGCTGGTCTAAGTCAGTCACATCATCTTCTCTCCAGCTGCTCAAGCCAATCACCTGGGACACATCCAGGACCCCCCTCTCCCCTTGTTGAACTCTGACGACGATGAACAAAACCCGTTGGTTCGCCGCCTAGATCTCTCGCCTTCCTTGCCACTCGTCCTCCACAGCCCTAAATGTGCTTGATTAATGGTAGTAGTCCCTACTAGTCTTCCTGACTGCAGTCTCAGTACCTTCCCATCTAGCCTCACATTTTTTTTAACACTGACCTTTTTTTAACATAAACCCCCCACCCTCCAAACCTGTTCTCAGAGTACCTTCCCAGCTCCCACTGCCTGATGGATAAAATCTAACCCCTTCTCGGGTACACAGAGTCCTAAGGACTGACTCGACACCCCTGACCAAGCCTTCTGTCGCCCGTCCCGACTACAATTCATGCTCTGCCATAAAGAACCACACGTGGTCTTCTGTCTCTGGGCCTCAGCATATGGCCTTCCCACTGCCTCAAGTCCTCTTTGCCCAGATATCTGTATGACCTGTGACCCGCTTCCTTATTTGCTTTACGTTTCTGCTCACGTCACTCTCCAGAGAGGCCTTCCCTGACCACCCTCGCCCCAGCCTCTGTGCCCTTTCTTCTTTGTTCTTCACAACACTTCTACCTCTGATAGAATGTACATCTTTAACCTGTTTATTGTCTGTCTCCCCCACTGAAATCCAGACTCTGAGAGAGCAGGACCTTTGTGTTCTTATCTCTTAATCCCCACTTCTCATAACGGTGGCTGGCACACGGTAAGCCCTCATCCAACAGCTGTGGAATAAAGAAATTTGTTGAATGTTCCCTCTGCCTGGAATGCCCTCCCTGACCCCTCAGCCCGATAAACTCTTAGTTATCCACCAGGTCTCGGCTTAAAGACGACCACTTCCAAGCAGCCCTCCCAGCCTCTCGCAGGGAACGTCAGGCGCACGCTCCCGGAGCCCTCCCTGTCCCCTGCACACATCTCCGCCAGAGCTGCAGCTCACTGACGGGACCGTCTGCCGGCCTCTCGCTCACGAGTAGAACTGCAGGCTCCTCGAGGACAGGACCGTGTCTCTTCTTTCCTGTATTCCCAGCTGGTCCAGAGCTGGTGCTCAAGAATTGTTCATTAAATGAATACATCAATTTTAAAAACAGCTCTTCCTCGCACAGATACACCTGACCTACGAAAGGACTGGGTTCATAATTTGGGCTTCACTGACTCATTGGTTAGAGCTTGGTGCTCAACTGGCCAAACTTGCTAAGGCCCACACCAGTAGTGACAAAGACACACAAAGAACAGTTCTTTCTGAAGTGATAACTTACCCATAATCCTCCAAGGCACATCCCAGCATAAGAAAAGTCAGCCCAATAGCCCCACTGAAGGATAACGCCACAAGAGCTGTGAAAAATAAAACCAGGAGTTACAGGGCCAGACCAGGGGCTGCCAGGGGCTGGGGGAGGAGGGGAGGAATGGGGGGTGACTCCTAACGGGTACAGAGTTTCTTTTAGGGGCGATGAAATGTTCTGGAATTAGATAGTAGTGATGGTTGCACAACCTTGTGAATATACCAAAAACTACAGAATTTTACACTTTAAAAAGGTGAATTTTATGGTATATGAATTCTATCTCAATAAAAAATTTTAATTGAAAAAATAAAAGGTCCCAAATTAAGCAAATGTAGTGATTTACTTATTCCATTAGGTGATGTTACATTTGACTAGCAAATCACTGTGCACGTCCACCGCATTGAAGTCATTAGGTAGAGAAAGGTCTCCAGCATTTCCAGTACCTAACCCCTACCTGATGTATGAATTCCCTCCTTATTTGTCACAAGAGGCCAGCCAGCCAGTCTGCACAACTCCAGTGAAGGGACACTCACCACTGCCCGAGGCAGTCCATTTCATTCAGACAGTTTCTAAATGCTGAAAACCCTCTTTCCTTAAATTATCTGCAAAATTACCTCCTGTAATGTACACCCTTGGGTCATTTTTGCCTCCCAAACCACAGGACTTCACGTATTTGAAGATTGCTTTCCCATCTTCATAGAAAATGATTCTCAACTAGTACCCACTGAATAAAATATTTATTCCCGGCATCTGTTGGACACTAATCTCCAACGGGGGAGGAACATATCTGTCCTTGTCACGCTGCGCTGCCGCGTGGGAGACAAAGAATATCAGAGTTGTTAAAAAATCTTGAGCTCTGAGTCACCAACATGGGTTCAAATGTTAACTCTGCCATCGCCTGGTTGTGTGACTTTGGGTAGAAGCTGAACCTCTTTAAACGTGATTTCTCACGCTGAAAGTTTGTGTCCCCTCAAAATTCATGTTAAATCCTAATCCCCAATGTGATGGTATTAGGAGGTGGGGCCTTTGGGAGGTTCTTGAGGCCCTCAAGAACGGGATTAGTGCCCTTACAAAAAAGGCCCCAGAGAGCCATCTCATCCCTTCCATCACGGGAGGACACAGCAAGACGGCCCTCTGTGAACCAGGAAGCAGCTCTCACCAGACATCGAATCTGCTGGGACCTTGACCTTGGACTTCCCAACCTCCAGAACTCAGAAATAAATGGCCATTTAAGCACCCCCATTTATAGAGCCCTAAAGGACTAAGACACCCACCCTCTTCTCTGGCACCCTCTGCTGCTGCCCTAGCACAGCCCCTTAGCATCTCGTGCCCACCTCCCATGGTGACTCTTCCAATCCCTCTTCCACACCGCAGACAGTGAGCTCTCAAATACATAAGGCTGGCGTCACCCCTTTGCAGTTGCTCTCACAGCCTACGAGTTGTTCTGGCACCGTGGCCTGACCCCCAACTGCCTTCCAGCTTCAGCCCTCACCACTCTCCCACTAAGTTCCCGTCTTACTAGCAGAGCTGAAGCTCCTGGAGAGAACAAGGGGTGCTCTTTCATGCCCCCTGCCCTACATCACGTGTTGTTTTCTCCACTCGGAATAAACTCCGCCCTCACCCCATCCTTTGCCAAGTGAAGCCTTATTGATCCTTCTAGATTCCACTGAAGGATCGCCTCTTCTGTGAAAACAGTCTTCTTCCTCCCTGGAGCAGGGTTAAGTACTCCCGTCTGTATTAGTTACCTAGGGCTCATAAACAACATACCACGAACTTCGAGGCTTAGAACAACAGAAATTTATTTTCTCACAGTTCTGAGGCTTGACCTCTGAAATCAAGAAGTCAGCAGAGCCGTGCTTCCTCTGAAGGCTCTAGGGAAGAATCCTTCCTGCCTCTTCCTAACTCCTGGTGGTTGTCGGCAATCGTTGGTGCTCCTTGGCTTTCAGATGCATCACACTTTCTGCCTCCCTCTTCATATGGTGTTCTCCCTATATGTCTCCATGTCCCTCCTTCCCTTTTCTTATAAGGACACTAGTCATGGGGCTAGGGCCCCCTCTAATCCAACATCATCTTAACTTGATTACATCTGCAAAGACCCTATTTCCAGATAAGGTCACATTGACAGGTACTGGGGAGTTAGAACTTATATCTATTTGGAGGACACAATTCAAGCCACAACACCATCTTTGTGCTCCCACTGTATCTGAGCACACCTTAGACACTTAAACAGTAATATAATTATTTCAGGCTCTTGTCATCCGACAGTAACTTCTCATTTATCTTTTTACCCCAAGTCTCAGTCATACAGTAGTCTCTTAACAAAAGTCGAACTGAATTATCTGCAAAATGCTTCCTTCCTTTAGTCCTTTTCCATTTCATAGTCTCTCTTCCTTTTTACTACCTTACAATTTCTAACACATTCACACATAAACATTAATACTATTCGACAGTTTCTGGGCATGACTAAACACAGTGCAGTTCTGAGATACTACTTGTCATCTGTCTTCTGCAGTGGCCTCAAACAGATATATTTCACACTGGACAGTGTCCAAGTAAACCATGTTTACTAAACTGACATCGAATAGACAAGTCAGCCAGAAATAATGATAAAATGTGTCTCCTGCTAACAGATCACACACTCATAAATTTCATAGTGAACACACACATGCGTGCAAGTACACTGTATACATGTTTATAGCAGATGTTGATTACCCGGGCAGGGAAGATCTTTGGGTACAAATTTCAAAAAGGATAGGAACTCCAACATAGAAACAAGTTATGCTCCTATACTCAAAAGATTAGAAATCTAATGGTTTCCTACCAACATAACAGGAAGCCTTCTCATAACCTCTCCCATCCCCCATTCCTCTGAAGGCTCACAGATAAGGGAAGCGGGGTTCGTGGGACCCCTTTTTGTCAACTGCCGTTCAAAAACACATACTGCACAAACCCTACTTTTTCGTCCGTCCACAGAGGAATAAACACTGAAGAAAGTAGCGATAAGATTCCACCTAATCTACTCTCCACAGTTACGAGAACGACAGCATCTCTGGGCGCTTTCCGTTGGGACACCCGCCTGCAGTCACTCCGCCCAAGTGGAAAACTCATCGGAGCAAGAGGACTAGGCTCCCCGACGCCGAGGACAGTGGAGACAATGGCTCCCGGGAAGAAATGGAAACTGCGGAGCGGCAGGAAAAGGGAGGAGAGGCGTTAGCGTGGACACGTCAGGAAGTGGAAACCTGGTCAAAAACCGGGCAGCGGCAGGGGGGGACGCTCGAGGAAGCGAGGAGGAGTCGGGAGGTGATGCTCGAGGCTGGCCCCCGGCTCCCAGGACGGCCCGCCCCGGCCAGGCCCCCCAGTCCCGGGGGGCCGGGCAGGGCGTGAAGGCCAGTGGGCTTGAAACAAGGGGCTGAGGTCCCCCACACGCCCTCCAGCCGCGCCCCGCGGGGCGAAGGGAGCGGGCGAGCGCACCCCCACCCGGCAGGCGGGAAGTCCGGCGAGTCTGGGGGAGCCGACCCCGCGCACGCGCCGGAAGCGCTGCTCCCGGTGTGGCCCGGGGCGGGGGGACCCCGCCGCAGCACGAGGGGCCGGGGGCCGCGGAGGTACCTTTAACGCCCGCCATGTCTCTCAGCTGGGCCGCGGCGCTTCCGGCTTCCTGCCCGGCCCAGACCCGGAGCCCCCGCGGGGCCAGCCCCCCCGCCCCGCAGAGCCCGCCCCTGCCGGTCTCGATCCCCCCGCCCACTCCACGCGGAGCCCCGCCCTAGCCGGTCCCGATCCCACCGCCCACTCCAGGCAGAGCCCCGCCCCTGCCATCCCGAGCCCGCCCGCATCTCGCAGAGCCCCGCCCCTGCTGCTGGGACATAACCCCCCCACCTGTCTAGCATAGCCCCGCCCCCGCTCAGTCATAACTCCACCCCATCTCACAGAGCCCCGCCCCTGCTTGTTCGTAATTCCGCCCATCTCGTACAGTCCCGCCCCCGCTTTTCATAATCCCGCCCCATCTCGCACAGCCCCGCCCCCTCGCTCATAGCCACCCCATGTCGCAAGCCCCGCCCCCACTCGTTCATAACTCCGCCCCATCGCAGAGCCCCGCCCCTGCTCATTGATAACTCCGCCCCATCTCGCAGAGCCCCGCCCCATCCCGTACAGCCCCGCCCCCGCTTTTCATAATCCCGCCCCATCTCGCACAGCCCCGCCCCGGCTGGTTCATAACCCAGCCCCCATCGTAGAGCCCCGCCCCGGCTTGTTCATAACTCCGCCCCGTCTCGCAGAGCCGCGCCCCTGCCTCAGGATCCGCTCCTGGGTCCTCCAGGCAAAGCCATTCGCTCAGTGTAGCCCCGCCCTTGCGGCCCGAGCTCTCGTGCTAGGGCCCGAGCCCTCCGCCTAGACCCCGACCGTGCCCCACGCGCCGCCCTCCAGCCCGGCGGCTGGGACCTCGGCTCCGCCCCGCCGCCGGGTCCGCGGGCCAGACGGACCCCGCCGCCCGTTCGGGACGCGTCCCGAGGCTTTCATGAAACTTTGATAAATAGCTGTTATTTTTATACTGTGGGTCCTCAGCGTCTGCGGGTAAGCAAGGCCGATTTAAACCTGGGAGGGCCATTTTGTACTTACTTTCCTCACGGGGAATGGAGAGTTTTGTCTTGGTGGGGACCATCTGAAAGAGATCTTCAAAACCATCTGGTCCAAGTGCTTCATTTGACCTTTACGGAAAGACGCTCAATGGGAGACTTGCCTGCTTCACACAGCTCTTTGGAGGAGGCTGAATTATGGGCCACTTACCCCTCCTTCCAGCCGAGAACCACTCCCCGGTAAGGTGCTGCCCCACTTCTATTGCTTTTTCTTAATTTTCGAGGGACTGAAAGATAACGGGGCTGGTGGGAACCCAGGTTCCGCCGGCTGCCTGAGAGGTGCGCTTTGTCACCACCACCATCTTTCAGGATCCCCGCTCGGTTTACTTCATCAAAACTGCACACTGAGCATATTATTGTCTCTCCACGTTTAATCACCTGTGAGTTGTTTATTTTTCTAGCTCCTCCCGTTCCTCCTCGCAGATGGAAGGTACACTTATTAAAAGCGTGGCGTTGCAAACACCTGGCTCACTGCAGATCCTTGGAGATCCAGAATTCCACTGCACTCTTGACTTTGCAGCCTGCAGTCTAACTCAAGATCGTTGAGAACTTCTCTTTCCCTATTTTGAGTATCATATTCTTCCTAATTCCTGTGAATGCACTCAGGGGAGACTGTCTACCACCCAAACCCTGGAAGCCTATCCTTTTTAGCTCCCTTCCTGTAGTGTCAAGCTGCTCTCAGGAGGAAGTTAAGACTTTTTCTCCTTAGCTGATGAGGATTTTCTATGGGATCAAATCTCCCCATTTCACCTTCCATTCCCAACATCTGGCAAATGTCCGGAAAGCCACATATAAGGTTTGCTGGAGGCTTCCATGTCAGCCTGAGGCTGGTCCCACAGAAGGGAAATGATCTTGGACAAAAACACCATTACTTCAGAGGCACAGCTTGGTTCAAGAGCCTTAGGCTTAGCAGTAAGAAACTGGAAGACAGTGAAAAGCAAAAAGATGAGGCGTCTGCCCCAGCGTAGTGTCTGGAACCAGAAAAACGCAGAGACAGTTTTGGCATCCAACAAGTTTCCTGCCTGCACCAGCCGTCCTTTCCAGTTTACTAAACACTAAAGAGAGAGTTCGCCATCTTGCCAGAGGCTTTCACCCTCCCTTGAGAAAATCTGCTTTCCTCTTGCCAGGTGTTGCCCTGAAAAATTGTTCTTCTAATTACCCATTCTGTGTTTCATCGAGAATAAGTCACCAAAAGCAGAAAGTAAAACCTTAGAAGCTGAACCCTATCCCCGACTTGCCATCAATGTGTTACATGGATGTGTAAGATCGTGTCCTCTGTCATGCTGCCTAGCACCGCAGTGGACTTCTCCAGATAAATTTTTATATTCTCTCCTTGCTCTCAGTTCTTTCACACTATGAACTAGGTTTTATGTTTCCATTTATAGATGAGGAAACTGAGGCTCAGATAGTAACTAGTGAATAGGGAAGCTGAGGTCAAGCCCAAAACAGTTCCACTCTGAAGTCAAGACACTCAGACACCCTACTGTGTTCCCCATGGTAGATCTTACGCACCAAAAAGGCAGGAGCTGTCGTAGAAATTAGATATAACAGCACCTTATGTTTAACAGGGCAATCAAATCCATTCATTAATTTGATTTTCCCTTACGTATCTATTAGTATCTTACATACAGTAGACACAAAATATTGGTTGAATTAACAAATATTAATAAAGTTCACCATATATAGTATCATTTCTCCCTATCCTACAGAAAGATCTAGCCTCAACCTCCAGCTCTGGGTATGCTTCCATTTCCAGGGGTAGGATCAACAAAACCTGCCTTTCAGAACTTTTTGAGAGTTAAATGAGAAAATACATACAGTAGCACCCAGGGCCGTGCATGCAGGACAGACGCAGTGGAGCATACTGCATTGGGGCTGGCTCTCAAGTCAGCGGGCAAGTTAATGCAAGCGCGAGGCAACACTGCTGAAGTCAGTCAGGGTTAGTTTTCCTTCCTGACCCTCAACAGCACTCCTCACAAAGCCATTCCCTTTGCAGAATCTACAATGCAAGTCTCTTCGCCATTTTATGCAGACAGATCTCCGTCAGCCCAAGGAGAGAGAAATAAGAGACCATCGGCTGCCTTTTCCCGCTCAACTTATCCACTCCCCACAACCTGAGGTTTTGGTGCAAGAGCCTTGTCTTATTGACTATCGGTAACAATAGCAATAACTGCTCTTTAGTGAGTACCCACTTAATAAAAGACAGTTTAGGTACACAGTCCCTAATTCCTCCATGGCAGGGTTGTTAAATTCTATTTTACAGGTGATAAGATTAAGACTTAAAGAGTTTAAGAAATTTGCCCAATATGACAGTCTTTAAGTGGAAAAACCAGGATTCAAACCCAGTCTTTTGGTCTCAAACCAACACTGTACCACTCTGTCCAAACACCAGGGTTTAGCCTTAGAGCAACCAAAACCTGTTTACGTGACCTAAATTCCCCAGGAGATGTTTCCAGCAGGGAAACTGTCCTGTTGCTGTGATGGCTGTTTCTGGAATTCAACCTTTGTGTTCATTCCTCACACAATAGTGTTTCAGCAGCAGCATTAGGATCCAACTTGAACGTTCTTCCAGAGACAGTCCACGATAGTTCCAATGCTCTTGATTTGCAGCATTTGCTCCCAAATGAACATGCTGCTTCTGTCCTTAAAAACTAAAATATCTGTTTTCTATGATTAAGTCCCAGACTCCCAGAATCAATCTCTGCACACAATTGCAGCTTTGAATATCCATTAATAGTCTAGCTAGGAGACCAGGATTTCTATGCTGATTCTTTTTGAAACACAGCATTCATGTAGCATGAGCAGAAGTGTGTGCGCGTGGTGGCAAGGTTGCTTAGAGTATAAATCCAGAAATCCTGTCAGATTGGGGCAAATGTATTATATGCTTTTCATATTCTTTCCCCATAACTTTTCTTAAAAGTGAATCATGTCGGAAGGTGTAATTCAAGTTTGTAATTATATTCCTACAGGTGCAAAAATAACAGGTTTCTACAAATATTTTTGAGCCTTTTAATATACATTACAAATATTTTAGACCAATCACATTTTGTTGTGTGTAACGTATTTACAAAACAAAAAATATATTACAATAAATATGAATGAAACAGTGAATCTGATCAACAACAAGCTCTGTCACAACCAGATATTTAAAAGGAATGCAAAAACCTGTTGGTCTGCATATGTTAAGAGTTTTGAGATAAATAGGGGTCCAGAATTATAATGTATCTGGAAAAGAGATGAGGGAAATCCCAAATTTAGGTTAGGTAAGATTCTTTCTCATTGCTAATTATATAATGTTTAATGATGTTTTAAACTGTGAGCATTGATGAATTATCCAAACATGATACAAAGCTAATATAGTTCTACCATTTCAAAATGTACATGACAGTCACATAATATCCTTTTAAGTATTATCATTATATACTGTAGTTCACACGATATCTACAAATGTGAATGAGAAAGAAACAAGTCACAGCAACATATCTTACATTCCAATTTTAAATAAGACAAGCACAGACTGGATCAAACATTATTTTATAATACGTTAATAAATAACACCTAGTTTGTTATGGTTACCTTGAACAGTTTACAGCTGTATATTTAAGAGGAGAACATTTTCTGTGAATTTCACATTGTCAGTAAAAGGTAAAATAAATAATGAACCTTTATAACCAAAAAAAAAAAAGAAAGAAAGAGAGTTCTATATAGAACATAAAGTATTTTTGACATGCTGCTTTTCCAGTACAGTTTGCCACAAGAAAATTAAAATAGAAACAAAAAATGATTGTCTTTTAAAAACAAGTTTTGAAAGCTTTTCACAACATTGAGCATGAACCTTCTAAGATTAGCATGGAAATCTTTTTGCCCATCTGCTTTGCATATATATACTATGCACATCGTGCATGTGCGCAGCAAAAGAGATCTGTTCAAGTCACCGGATAACAACTGCTTACCCCTCAAAATGAGGAACAGCCAAAACACCAAACCGAAATCCTACCAGTCTCAAGTCTGCAAAGGTTTCATTCTTGCTTCGCTTTCAC